TCTCCACCTAGTTACTTTGGAGTTGCAAGCCTCTCACTAGCTTGAATTAAGATTAGATGTCCAACGCTCAGGCAATTAAGAGCAAGGAAAGTTGATGGACTATGACGGCGAGACAGCCCTGCCTTGTGCACAGGTCCTTCCCACAGCTGTGATCGGCACAGGCTGAGGAGGCTGCAGGACATGGGCTGTACCAGGCAGCTCTGCTGCTGATTCCCTTCCTCCCTCACAGCTTCCAAGGCAGGACCTCTCTTTGGGTACAAGCGGAGGTGTTGGAGGCTGCTTGCTCTGCTGTGGGAGGCTGTGTGATTTCTGCTGGGTGGAATTGGCTTACTCAACAGCACAGACAGCAGCAGGGCTGCCTACATGGCTTATTGGAGTCACCGATATCTTGGCTACTCTGTTGAGAGTGAACAGACATCCCTGGTTGGACCTTATCCTCTTGCCCCTGCCATCCTTAGGCCCAGCTTCACCATAGTAGCTCTTCCCCTTAAAGACTAAAACTTCAACCTCTTCAGAAAGTCCTCACCTTTCTGATCCAGTCCACCTGCTAGGAACAAAGCACCACCTTTTGATACAGGAAATCACATCTGCAATGTTACCACCACAATTTTGGCATGTCTGTGTAGACACGGAGTCCTTTGATGGAAGAGCCCCACTGGCTGAAGATACCTCAGCACCTTTGAGCAGTGGGACCGCTGCAGCTCTGCTTTCTGTGCCAGGACACGTTTCCCCTTCAAACGGCTCAGGAAAGTTGAAATAGCTACAGACAAAAGGAGGTGCCAAAATATCAGCTTATAGAAGATGTTCTGCTGCTTAGAACAGATTAACACATTTTACATACAAATGCACTGAATGGAAACATTGAGTTACTCTATATTTTGACATTGAGTAATACCAACATCACCCAAAGAAAAGTAGAACATTCTTGCAGTGGAAAATGCCATCAGCAGGGAGGTTGAGCCCAGGCTGCAGCAGCTATGATGATAGCAGTTTGGGCTGTGATGGCCTTAGACCTTAGAGGTTTTTCACTAACCTTTTTTTTGCAAGTAAATTCTTCACACAGTAGACAATTTGAGTAGTGATTCAGTTCACTGCAGTCTCCTCCATAAGTCATTACAGAAGCAACTCTTAAACAAAGGTTAAACACTTTAAACAAATGGCTCTACCTTTCCAGATGGGATGCAAACCCCAGTTGGTCACAACTAGATATTCAGACAAAAGGGACTTCAATTCTCACAGGTGAGATCTGTCTACATCCATGGATGCATTTTTATCTCAGCAATTCAATGCTATCCTTCAGCCTCTTTGGGCAGCTATTCAGTGAGGCTCTTCTCCAGCGTATATTTGTAATATTTATTTACATAAAAAACACCTAGATGATTTGGACAGCAGATGTAGCTTTTCAGATCCAAATAATACCCCTACCATTAAAATTATTGACTAATTGGAGTAGTTTTGCAGTACTGTCAGCACAGGAGACTCTTCTCTCTCCTGTGCATGTGGAGAAGGAGCATTTTTGGTGCTTCTGTGTATTATGGAAAGGTGGCTCTGCCCACAGCAGGGCAATGCCGGGTGAATTATTTCTATTTCTGTAATATGCTCTCCTCACAAGGCACCTGAAGAGCTGCCTCTTTCTCCTTTATTTCATCAGTGTGGATTGAGAGTGGCAGACAGACAGTCCCAGCCTTCACAGTGCCTCATACCTCCATGGTGACAGGGTCTTACAGCCTCTCTGTCCAGTCCCAGAGAGCTAAAAGCTTTCTTTTGCCACAATGCTGTCCCCAAAGATCTGCACCCATAAGGATGCTCCACACTGGGTCTGGGTTCAGACTTAAAAGCCCTGCAGGGAATCGGCTCTGCAGCTCAGTATTAAGCTCAGCAGCTATCTAGGCTTCTACACAGGCCCAGTTGTACTTAATTCCAACACCATTCAAAACTAATACCACCACTGCCTGTAATGCAATAGCTGAGCCAGATCCAAACTCTGTGTGTGTGAGAGATAAACACTACACAGGCTCTTGGTTTGCCTATTAAGGTGTTTGCCCTGTTGTTCTTACCGACATCAGTGCTGCTGACAAAAAGCAAGCAATGCATTTTAATAGATCTGGAGAGCTGTGTTTGGCTTCCCAAGTAGCTCTGCAGGCAGCTTGACAAAAGGGAGCTACACGCTGCTGCAAACCAGGCTTCTTCGGGGAAGGGGGAAGGAGATGGAGCGAGTGTTTCTGAGGTTCAGATGAGCAATCTTCTGTGCAAACACACAATCCCTGAAGCAAAGGCAACTGCAGAGCTATTTTGATTAAACAAGCCCGAGATCACTGAATTTCTTCTCCTGCAGATTCCAGGAAAGGAGCGGGACAAATTCCCTCTGCTAGTCAGTGGAAGTAATGGTTTTGAGAACACCCCCTTACTGACTTTACCCCTTGTTTTGATGCCACCTGTAAATTCTTTGCTAAAACTAATTTTCTTAAAGCAAAATGCCTTCCCAATCTCTACTGACAGAATTAACTGGCAAAGGTTCATTCCCTGTTTAGCCCCCTAAAATACTTGACAGACACTTAACAACCTCTTTCACCAGATGCCCACTCTCCAGTTTCCCTTCCCTTCCCTTCTCTTCCCTTCCCTTCTGAAACGAAAAGCCTTAATTTTTTTTTTTTTTTTTAGAAACAGGGCTGCATTAACACCAATCTCAAACTAGACATCACAGGGTCTGTGCAGGGTCTGCAGCGCCCGGGTTTGCGGGGCTGGTTGGTGCGGTACAGCGCGGTGCGGTGCGGTACAGCGCGGTGCGGTGAAGGCAGCCCCCCCCCCGCGTCGCTCTGCGCGGTCTTTGCTGTTACATTTCTGCCCTCTAGTGGGCAAAACGAGCTTCGCAGCTTTTCCTGCTTTTCCGAGGAAAGGGAGGAAAAGCCCCCAAACACGGAGGGCGCTGAGTTCTCCCCCGCCTGGCCCCGGCTCGGCCCCGCTCCCCCCGCACGCGTGGGCGAGCACCGAAGGGGCCGGGGAGGCCCCGGTGCATCTGAAGCTGCGGAGCCAGATGGCAGGAGCCAGAGCTCGGAAGGCACCTATAAATATTTGTTCTGCCCAACTAAATACGCACGTTTTCAGTTTCTCAGCCAATTTGGAGGAGTTTGCATCAGAGAATTAAGCTTTATCACAAGATTTCTTGGACCTCAAAAGCAGTTCATACGAGGCGGTTTTATTTAACCTGAAGTTCATGGCATTTTTTATTTATTTTTTTTTCCCGAGGATGCGAGCTGCAAGATTAAGGGGAAAGAGAAAAATCCCTGAAGGAAAGTAAAACCAAACAGTAGAAATATGAGGCCAGAGCTTGCTGTGTATCTGCCCGGGATGGAGTAATGAAACTCTAAATGCTAAGAAAACCACAGAGATTAATTTCAAAGTTACCAAAGCACCAGATTTAGCTGGAGAGCCCCTATGAAATGAGGGAGAGTAGTGGGTCTTAAAACTCTTAAACCATTAAATTAGAGAAGGAGTGGATATGTTGGAATCATCGCATTATCTCTGAAACAAGGAAGCCAGATGAGCGATAGGCAGTTTTTTAAAGGCTCCTATAAACATCTGTACATTTGTTGCCATGTAAGATGTCCTGCAGGAGCTTGTCCTGCTCGTGCACCAGGCCATTGGTGCAACAGGTGGGAGCAGTGCCAGCAGCCACAAGCTGCTCCGGCAGAGCAGTGTGACCCGGTGAGCAATGAGGAGCTGCAGTGATTCAGCAGTTCCTGCAAACGGCTTTTGAAAGCAGCTTTCCTAAGTTGCAGTTCATGTATTTACTTGGTTAATTCCTTCCAATTGTGAGCTGTTGTTAGAATTTGTTTCCGTGTTTTGAGTAGCAGGGGAAAAAAAAATAAATCTTTTTTTTTTTCAGTGGGAAACTACAGAATAAAACAAATACCGTTGGTTCTTTTCCAAATTGCATTTTTCATTCCATTGTAGCTTTGCAGCTAAAAGCACTGAATTGCTGAAAAGAATTAGATCTATCTACATCTTCTCATCACAAAGAGTGGCTGGGAAAATTCCCATTAAGATGAAATGTAAGCAAAGGTGGGTCACCAGTGGCCGGTAAACTCACACAGGGCACAAATCCTACTGAAGCGAAGTATCCCAGCATCATTCCCTGTATTTGGTCTTCTAATTGTGTTCCCTTTCTCCAACTGCTGAAAGAAGCCAATTTCTTGACTGCCCCTATGCAAACTGAAGATAGTAATTTTTCTTAAGTCAGAAAGACTTGGCTTATGGTACAACTGCCTCAGTACAATGTCCCAAAGTAGATGGTGTTAATGCTATTTTAATCCACAGCTTGGCATTGATCCTGCTGTACCCGCAGCACAGTGAAGCCCTGTGTGCCTGCGTGCTGCACGTGAAGGCAGAAGAGCTTTAATCCTTGGGGCTGACTAAGTTACTCCCTGCATAAGATCCTGTGGAAGAAAAGACAGACGTGACTGGATGATGTCTCTGCAGCCCTGTACCTCCAGCCTCTTTCATGCTGCATTGGTGTATAAAAGACCTCTGGTACTCAGCGAAGGACGGGCACACCTCAGCTCTCCTCATTCCTGGGTGTTCACCCCATGCCAAAGGCATGCAGGGCTGTGCAAACCCTTTGATATGTGGTTGTCCTGTGATATGAAATTTTACAACATAGAGCTGCTAAAGCCAGGATCCAGCCCTGAACCCAAGCCCTGCATCTCCTTGATGTCTATGAATGCCTCTCAGCACATTGCATGGTCTAGACCAGAGGATTCCTTAAGATCACACCCAGCCTTATTTTCTTTGATCCTTCTAATTTCATATTGAACCAGGAACTTTCCATTCCAATACAGATGTAATTCCAGACCCTTTGGCAGCTTTTCCAAACTCCATCAGAGCTTCACAACCCTGAATAAAGTGCAGTTGGTTTAGCGCAGTCAATGGACTGCAAAGTTTCATCATTTAATTTAATCTCTTTTGCAGTAGTGCAAGTCCCCTTCTAGAGCTCTGCTTACCTAATAGGCGGATATTCTTCTGTGTCCTGGTCCTGTCTCCTCTGATCACAGCAACAGATGTGGCACATGGATTAGTCACCGGGATGTTCATTGTGCTGAGAGGAGGCTGGAGACAATGTCAGTCATCCGAAATGCAGAATGGGAGGGCCAGAGGGTGTTAAATGTTTCTCATCCTTCGCATGTTTTCTCTTAGATGTATTGTGAGAAATGTGATCAATGCAATTCTTTTTTCTACAGATTAAAATAAAGAAACACAAAAATCCTCTTTGATTACCTTGATAACACCTCCTCAGCTGGCTCATCATAACCTTTTGTGAGACATTTCCAAAAACGAACATTTCACCGTATGGGTCAGGAATAATCCTGTTGGTACAGATAAAAGGTGCCAATGCTCAGTTTTAACAACTTGTGCTAGCTGAGGAATGTGCCTGTCCACACCTCAGGCATCTCCCAGTGCAAACCAGTAGCTTCAAACCTGCCCCAGCAAAAAAAGAAACAACCCAAGAGTGACAGGGCAGTCAGACACCCGCAGCAGCTGGAGGCAAAAAATGCCATCAGAAAGAGCAAACTTCCCCATTCCAGTGCTGGGAGCTTGCTAGCAAAAAGCCCTTGCTGTTTCAGCTGTAATGAAGTAAATCCCTTCAATGCGCTTGTGTCAAAACCATTGATCAAGAAACATTATTAATTAGACCTAATCCATGCTTCGGAGGCACCAGAACATATCATCACAGCTCGAGGGGGTTTAGGGCAGCGGAGTGTATGTCTCAGTAAGGTTTCCTTAATTTTATCCTCATGATTTTGAAGGTGTGAATGCACAGAGAAAAAGAAGATGGAAGAAAACAAAAGAAAAATAGCAGCTTTGCAAATTTAACCCTTCCGAGGTGCAGCTAGTACCTTATGTTAACAATATCTATTGGTTAGTACAGTCTCTCGCTTTCATTTAAAATTACAAGGTCCTCTAATTGATGTGCCCATGCTCCAGTATTGGGGCGGGGGGATAATCCAATTCAGCCTCTAATTGACTTGTTGGTCTCGATCTCCCACTGCCACCTTTAACTTTTCCCCAATTACTGCAAAATTTTGTTGACTTAATGCTTTATCCAGCAGCTGTCTGGTTTTCAGCTGTTTTCGGCACCTCCTGGTGTGGGATGTTCCTTATTATCAGCCTTTTGTTCTTCTTCAAGGGTATATTCATCAGCAAGGCATTTATTGTTTATACCAAGGGTCTGGTTTCACAGGTCCTTGTGACCTTTTTACAGCTCTTTATTCTCACCTAGTGAGAGATTCTACCTTCTAAAATATATTTTACCCTTTTGAAAGTATATTCTACATTCTTAAGGTACATCACCTGGGTCATTTACTGCGGGAAGGCAAAGTCTGAGATCCCTGGCAATGCTCCAGCCCCACCAGCCTGACCCCAACCCAACTGGTTGCCCTGGCTCTCCACCATGCCACTACAAAACCAGCCGTCTGCTGGAGAGAACAGGAGGCCGGGGCAGATAGGAGGAGCAGGCATTTGGAAGGTGTCCTGGGCCTCAGGCTCTCAAGAGTTAAAGCAACCAGAGGATTCTTAAGCAACAACAACAACAAAAAAAAAATCACACACACAAAAAATAAGAGCTAAGCAGCAGCTCTCACAACAAAAATGCAGTTCCAAAATTAATGAGATTTTGATAACCCCCCTTTAAAAATGGAATATTTCCATTTTAAAATGTACAAAGAGTAAAATCTTCATAAATATCCTATTAAGAAACTTCTGCTGCTGTTTTAGAGTTTCAATTGAAATACAGTGCATGAAGGTTGCCATAGCTACAAGCAAATTTTTAAATAACTGTTTTTCATCAGAGCAGCTGCAGTATCACGCAGAAATGAGGGTGAAGTGGGGAAGCTGGAAGGAGTCCGACGAACTTCAAGCTCCTAATCAAGTGACTCCGAGATTTTCACAAACACAGCACAGAAACTTTTAATACGCTTTCTGCTTTTTAAAGAAAATATTGCCCTTTGTTATTTGGCAGCACCCCAGCAAATGCTGTCAGCGCTGCATGAGATCTCAGTCAAGAGCAGAGCTTTGTTTTCATGCTGGAAAAGATAAAAATTTCCACTGCTAAGCCCTTACCATGGTGCAAGTGCCCAGGCACTGAAGGGTGCGCTCTGGCCTCGGGTCTGCTCTGGAGGGCTTTCTTTGTGAACCGGCTGATTGACAGCAACATGCCTAAAAATGCCAAGAGAACTGCAGATTTCTGTAACCAGGAAAAACTCTTCCTTGCCTGAGCTTGCGCAGGAGAACACAGAAAGGAGGAAATGTGAAAAACAAGTGAAACTGTAAAATGTTAGCAGGAGGCGTATGAAGTGGGGCTGTGAGATTCAGGTGGTCTTGCCTCCGATAGCATTCAGTGATCCGTGGGCACCAGGAGGGATTTTCCTCTCCTGTAAGATCTCTTGCTGGCAGGAATAGACAGAGCAACTTTCTGAGCAACAGTGGAAGCAGAAAATGGGCATTTCTGCACCGTGGGCACCTGTTTGGAGGAGGGCTAGGCCTTGGACAACACTGGAAGTCTGCTTTATTCTCAAGCCTTTCAACCAGTGATATTAACTATGGCAAAATTCCTAGAAAACCTCAAATAGATTCATTTTGTGTTCTCAGCCAAGTTATATCCCTGTGTCCCAGTCTATAAAACGAGAGTAAATAAAGAATAAAATTTCTCACAGGAATGTGAAAAGATTTAACTCCAGCACAATAGTAATTGAATTGCTATCTATAGAAAGAGGAAATGCTTGGCTGAGTTAGGTTTTTTTTCCTAAACAACAAATTAACGATCATTATTTAATACACAACTGTGAATCTGAAAGAATCATCTCAGTGATGATTATTCTTATACAAATTGGTCCACTTGTGTATGACCTGCTTCTAAAGAGGTACCTCCACAGCGTGGTGGAAAGGCTGCCTGGTACTTCTGCAGTGACGCATGAAGGCTTATGGTGCTTGGCCACCACCTGCACAGCAGCAGAGTTCAAGGTTTACAGGCAAGCAACAGACACTAATCAATGCAGGCAAATCCCCTGGGCAGAGTATTTTCATTTCAAATCTGATCTAAAAATTTCCTTCACATCTTTAAATGAAACAGCTGCCTTTCTCGATGACTGTAGGTTTGTTTGTTTCAAAACACATAATTTTTTCAACAGGTAGTAGACAACAATTTATTTTTTTTTGTGGGGTAAAAGAATAAGAGAGGAAAACAAAAGGGGAAATTCAGAAAAAAAAAGCTTTTAAAAAATTCAGAAAAATGGAAGTTAAAAAGTCCTGTCTTTGCAGGTTCTTCTAACAAATGAGATTCTTTGACCGATTCTAAATATTACCCTTAAATGCTGAGGCAGTGTAAGCCCTATCTTCAGCACAGAAAAGAAAAAAAATTGAATTTTAGAATTCAATTTTAGAATACTAGAATTCCCATTTTAGAAACTAGATACTTAATGGCAGCCAGAAACATCTCAGTGCCTCAGTGAGACAATGGCATGGCCAGCTTCAGCTGGCTTTGCCCAATACCACTCTTCATGTCAGCAGTGAGTGGTCAGAAAATGGAAAATAAGGATTACTACCAGAGACACAACCTTGCACATATCTTTCATAATAACTTTAACTTAATGCAAATTTTAAAAGTGTCTTTTTGCCAGTGCAAAAATAGGTTAGTACAGTAGAGTGAGGGAAGGATGCCAGTGAACAGATATTTCTATATTTGAGTGCATGTATCCTGTTGAAGGGACAGACCTTCCAGGCTATCTTTAGGTATTAAATTTTCTGATGTAGAATTCTTTCAAAGGAAAGAAACAGAAGATAAAAAAAGCACAACCTGCTGTATGGTTGGGCTGCCAGAAAAACAGATTGTGAGTCACCGAAAACTAGTGACCTTACTCAGCATATTGTGACTCCATAGCTTTTAAGCCCTGCTGCTTCTTTTCCAAGGCAGATGAGAGGCTTGTCAAATCTGTAGTTTCCATATATACACATGCACACTCACGCTCACATTAAAGTGCTATTTCTCTCAGCTGTGCAGACATCAGGATTACTGAACCTGACATAAACTCATCATTTTCCTCGAAGCAAAAAGGGATGCTAGCCAGAAAGATGAGCCACAGTCGGCAACAGCTATGTTGTCTTGGGGTACCAAAGCAAGCGCAGAGCCATCTCCAGAGGAGTGTTCAATATGCAGAACCTCATTTGAAAAGGCCTAAGATCATTTGCTGAGAATAAACCCCTGTCTGCAGCCTGCACCAGTGCCTCTCATCAGCATTCACTGGACAAGGCACACACAGTACAAAGAAGAAATGCAGAGGCTTAAGGAGAAGATGATGGGTGAGAGGCAGCAAAAGGGAGCAGCGCTTAATGCCACAGGGCACCTTTCTCACCTTACTTGCCATGCAAAACATGTAAACACTGACAGACCTATTACTGCTGCAGCAGCTCCTGTCTCTCTGCCTGCCTCTGTCCACTCCCTTCTCTGTGTTGCTCTACCATGTCTCCATTTTGCTTTTAAGTAGTGCACGAGCCCCTCCAGCACTCATGAGGTTTGCTTTTTTTCACCAGATTCAAGCACTATCTTGAAGCAGGGAGAAAGGAGTCCTGGGGGATGAGCTACAAAAATAAAAAAAGGAAAGAAAAAAAGAAAAGAAAAAGAGATAATCCCACAATCTACAGGGTAGAAAAGCCAAAAAACCACAAGAGAGATGCCCCAAGAGAGGCAGTGAGGGATCAAGGACCAAGAAATGGTGAAAGAATGTCAGCCTAAGGAGAAGGAGGCAACAAACCACACAAACAGCGGCAGTGGGTGACTCTGGGGCATGCTCATACCAGAAGAAAAAGGGTGTAGGAGTTTGTCCTCATTTGTTTGTTGTGAATAGTAAGCAGAAAGCCACAAGTGAAGAGAAACAAGCAGGCAACAGAATTCAGGGTTGCTTCTCCATTTTAACTGCTTGGATTCTCAGTTTCTTCATCTGCAAAATGTATGTAGCCTTGCTGGTCTGATAGAGCTGTGCCAGGGGGATTCGGCTCATTGATGTATTCAGAACAAATAAACAGAGTAAGATCTGTGAATAAGCACCAGAAGGTGGCATAGATCAGCTTGAAAAAGATATAGAGAGCGTATATCTTTTTAGCAAATGCTTTACTTGCCCCCAAATCAAGTTTCAAATCCATAGCAGCACTAACAAATATAGCTGAATTCACCTGAATGATTCTGCCAAGAGGAAAAAAAAGTACAATGCAAAATCAGAATTTCACTCTGAAATGAAACATTTAGAGGACCAGATTAAAGAGATCAATTTTTTAAGACAGGGAACAAGAGAAGATGAAAAACTGCAGTCATCAGAGTTGTGATGCTTTCATTTCTGGTGCTTGTGCACAGAGCTGGTGAATTCAGTAAGGACTTGTATCAATTAATACACATAACACGTCACAGATCTGACAGAGCGTCAGGAAATGAGTCACTGAGTCTCTTTACCTTCGGCACTGTGACTCTGCATTACTTCGGTGTGCTGAGAGGCACGTATCCCCACGCAGGCTGGCTGGGGTGTAAGCTGCTGGGGCATCCTGAGGACTGCCCTGGTTACAGTGAAGTAAAATAAAGCTATATACTGCGAGGCAGCACAATTAGACAGACGGAAGGTACACTGGTTTGAAACCGCAGGCTAAAAATACTTTATATTCTGTGAGAAAGGCACAGCACTGTCAGTAGGACAGTCTGGGACTTGAAAACTTGTCTGCTTTAAAGATCCCAAAAATATCCAAAAGGAAGATGCCCTGTCATCCAGAGCAAGCAAGGTTTGAAAGCAACTACAGTAGCCTGTAGCAAAGGAAGAACACGCTGAATGGTCAGTCACCACAGGGCTGAAAGTCAGGTTTGCTTCTGCTTTCAAAATAACTCTGTGCCTAATCATTTTAATCATTTTTCTCTCACCAAGAAGCAGTTGTAGAGCACAGAAAACAACTAGGCAACTTTGAGAGGAAAAAAAGGCTTGAGAATAACAAACTGGGAACAGCTCTTTCCTTCACTATTTTTCACATGCTATGATCAGAACCTATGCTTGCTTAGGACACAAATACCAAGTACTTTTTCATTACACATGGGCTGTGCAACTGTTTTCCTACATGCAAGCCCAACATTCACGGAGATGTGGAGCTCAAGAGATAGACAGAAGTTGCATGACTGTCATCTAGCCACAGGCAGTCCGTGGCACTTGGGAGGTTCAGTGCCATGCAGACGTACCTACCAACTATTTGGTAGTGATAACCCATTTGCAGTTCACCGAAGATGCGGAAATCTGGTGTGTGAATTTGCAGAGAGTGAGGAAACCCACTCTGGGAGTCCACACACATGGCTCAGACCCTCCACAGGAACCCCCTCATCCTTCCTGAAAGTACAACTGCAGGCACCAGCCATTATTAGAGTAACAATAGCCCTGTATCTGTTCCTTCAGTTACACAATAGTGACTTGTTCACTCCCCTATGTTTTAACTTAAGCTTTAATTTAATTTAAGCTTAATTTGAGATAATATTTGAGATCAGCAAATAAATTTGAGATCAGTAGTGCTATTATTAGTTCATGATTTACTGTAGACTTTTGAGAAACAAAAAGCATTACTTACACCACATTTTGAGGACTGCACTCAAAGAGATGGGACTGCAAAGACTCCTGTACCAAAGACCATCTTGATTTCATCAGTTGAGTTGTGTGGTTACCACCATGAACACATCATCTTCTCTGTTACATCACTGCTTGGAGGCTGCACTTCACAGTGAAGGAAGTTTTGTGCCTTCAACCAAATGAAAAAAAAAAAAAAGGAAATTTTGGTATCATCCTTTGCTTTGTGCTTTTTTTCCCTCTTGTTTAGTGGATATTCCTATAGCAGGAGCAACTGGTGAGCTCTTCCAAGAACTCTTCTATAGACTGGTGAGCATGATACATTTCAGACAGCCACAAAGAAACACTTCAACCTCTAGAATAAAAATTTATATGAAAGGCACATCAGTATGAAGGCACACCTGTATCCACAGGCAACAGTGATTATATCTGATTATTTTTAGTATAAATACATTTTCAGAATTAAAGGGCACGTGACAATTTTAAGCTACTTAGCTGAACGTGCTGCTCCTGCACCTGTGGGGTTTTAGTATTTCTACGCTTTTAAGAGCATTGCACCACAGGGATAAGATCAGTGCATGATGCTCTTTAATGAGTTGGAGAAATATAATTTAGGAAGGTGTTATTACTGCAAGGAAGAGGTGCAAAGCTCATTGGTAATGATAACTCTTTACATGCTTAAAAACCACAAATATTATTTTCCTGATGCCTAAATGAAAAATTTGAACATAGATCCTCCAAGAAATAAAACATCAGCCTGTGATTTGAATGAATCCCCCTATAAGGGGGTGCTTGTACTGTAAACAGCACACACAGCCATCATGGATTACACTAGAATCTCCCTAATCCAAACACTTTGGGAGCACATTACCATCTTCAGGAAAGGGAATCTGTGTTCACATAAGCATGCTGGTGGCTGGTGTAAATGCATATTCTTTATAGTCACAGCTGAGATTTTTGTGTGTGTGTGTGAAAATGGGTATTTGGCATAATACAAAGCAAAAGAAACGATAACTGTACAGCAGCAGTACCGGACAGAGGATGTTACAGCAGTTAACAAACTTGGCCTTCAGACCAAAGAGGTCCAGGGTGTGACTGGCCTGGTGCAGCTCACCATAGCTGCTGTTAGGAGCACTGCACCACTTTGCAATATTTGGGGACCGTCATTCAATCAACAATATCTCAGGGATTTATATGTAACCTTGATAAAACTGAGAGGAAAGAAAAGACTGAATTAAACAGCGAGCAGCAACACAGAGCCTATCAGCTAAGAAAAGATACAATCACCATATAGCTATTTAACATGAGAGAGCCTGGCCTTTGCAATGAAACTTCCCTGTTAAAATGATTCACATCAGTTATTCTTTCTCTCCTACTTGCTGCTATCACCATCCAGAAGAGTCAGCGAATGATCAAGTGCTTCTTTGATCTCCCGTGTATGTGAAGACAGAAATATCCAAGCTGAAGAACTGAGCCCCATGGGTCTGACAGCGGATTCAATTACAACCCATGGAATTCAGTTCTCAAAGCTGAGATTACATGACATTCATTTTAAGGCTGTCCTGACGCACAGTAGTATCTCATACTCCTGTTTGCTCTCTCCAGTGTCTGGCCTTCTTCCAGATGCTGTAAAACAGAAGAGTGAAACCTTCACTGCAGCCAAAGCAACGCTACCCAGACTGTAGGTGTCAGATGCAGAATAAAGGCTTGAGGACACATATATAGAAAAATAGCCTATTTTATGTTTTCTTTTGGCACCAGAAGTGGCCACACACATAGACAGAATGTGCCCTAACACATAGAAGAATTCTTAGTAATAAAATCTGAAATTTATAGCCAAGAAGTATCACAGTATAACATTTTGCACTTTTCTGGAAGCCTTTGAGAATTTCAAAGAGTGAGCTATAAATTTCCTTCACTTTTTTTTTTCTTTTTTTTTTAATATGACGACACAGAGATAAAATCTTCTGGAGTTGCACAGCAATCTTTGCTAGCAAAATAACCCATCCAGAAACTCAGACAGAAGGAAATCTGGCACTGGTGCAGCCCTTCAGAGTAGTCAGAGTCTGGGTGGCAAAAAGGCAAGCAGAAGTGATCGGCATTGTAGCTGCACAGTTATGCTCTGACACAACTTTGTCTGATGTGACAACCTCACCCCAGGGTGACAATCTCACCCAAAGGCAGGAGTATTGGACTACAGATAAATACCGTTCAAACACACTGAAGATCAAAGCTGACATTTCAGACAGGAAACACCTCGTGGCTTCTTACAAACCTAAGAGAAGTCACACATTTCATTAAGCTTCATACCCTGAACTTGGAATTTTTGAGGAAAAATAGATTGGATGAGATGCTGGATTATGTATTCATCTGAAAAAATTAGATGTTATGTCTGCATAGCACCATGATAAACAATGTTGGTTTAGTTATTAAAAAAAAAAAAAAAAAAAAACAGTTTCAGATTTATTTAGAACATTTTAAATATATTTCTTTATGTTCCAGTAAGATGAGGCATCACAGAAAAGTCCCTTCAAGTTCAATGAAATGAAAAGAAAATGAAATGAAAAGAAATACTCAGTCTGTGGTAAAATATTTGGAGGTCAAGTGGATTTCAGATTAAATCTCTTAGCCTTAAAAACTAAGTTTAAATAAATTTACTTACCAGAATGGTTCAAAGGGAATTAATTAGTTTGTTTAAATATTGCTTTTCTTAAATAATAAGTAAGTATAAATATTTTTGGAAATAAACTGTTGAATGAAAATTTAAAAACATCAAGGAGTTTCTAGCTTTTCCCTGAGAAAGTAATTTGATTCAAAGCTGCAAAATATTTCAAATTTTTTGACGAGGAAAAGCCCAACTCCAACCAAATATCTTCCCAGCCCTGGCAGGAATTCAAAACTTCCCCAGTAAAGCTCACTAGTCAAGCTGAAGATGGGGTACCGGTGAATGTGAAGCCAGCACTGCATGGATATGAAAACCTTATTCTTTGTACAGCCTGTCCTTGAGCAATTACGATCTCGTTTTCTAAAAAAATTGATTTAACTAAGAAGAGATCTTAAATTTATCTCTAAAACCTTCAATTCAAATGAACAACAAATGTCTGAGAAAATTGCAATAAATGATTTTTGATAACATCCAAAAAGTGCCACTTTTTCAGCTAAATTAGCGATGCATGCAGCCAAATCAGCAGAGGCTCAGCGCAGAGTGTGTTGTTTGGCAGGATATCCAACAGCTCCGCTGCTGCGGCATCCAACAGTGTGCCCATGCCTTTATGGCTGTAATTGTTTTCTTAGGCTGTTGAACCAGTCAACCAAACAACAGAAATTAAAAATATGCTTCTTTAACTATTTAACTTGCTGGGAGGGAAACCTCTGAACAAACATTTTTGCAAAATAACTGCCTTGTGGTACCCTCAGCCCAGTTCAGTCCCACCAATCTGTCAGTTGACTCCATGAGACTTCTACTGCAGGAAAGAAAAAAAAAAATAACAAAAATAGCTTCCTGTTAAAGTCCCCAAATAACACATAAACTTATCTGCTACTTTGAAATAGAGTGCCACAACAATAATTTTTGCTTGTCTGATGTTTCTGATCACTGGAGTATCACTTGCTAAGAAGACTTGTTGATGTTAAACGAGATTTGCCAGCAGCCTGGCCCTTCTGTGGTAATCACTCTTCCACCGTCAAGCAGAAAAAAAATCAAATGATCATCAATGAAAACATGATATGGTAAAACAGAGGAAAGGTTAGGAAGAACAAAGGATGGAAACGCCCAGCCCTTGGGACATTCCCTCCTCCTGTGTTGAGTGCATGGCATTTTTATAGACGAGGAGCTGGCACTTCCTGGGCACCAGCATGGTCAGCACATGCAGCTGGGGACACCAAACTTTGGCACTCATTCGCATTGCACAATCAGGCACACTAATGACAAGGAAAAATATTAAATCCCCCTCCACGAAACACAGTAAATGGACCTGTGGTAGCTCTAAGCTCGCTAGCTTGGGCACTGCTGGTGGGCCCACCATGGCAGCCCCTACCCAGGCCAGAAGGGCAGCCACGTGTCAGGGTGCAGCCACGTGTGAGGGTGAAGCTAAACCCACCTCTCCCATCGCCCAGGGGGTTTTCTGCAGAGCTGCCACCTTCCCAGGGCAGGGCATGAGCACGGAGAACAGACATCCCCCGACAGGGTCACAGATGAATAGGCTTTGAGATTATTGTCTCGGGTTTGGGAACCTAAAGCACCCACCGCAGCTGGCAGCTCCACTCCCTCCCAAAGCTCTGGGACGGACCTGTCCCAAAAGTCTCCCTGGGGAGGACAACCCCGCTGAGCTCTCCACCAGCACAAACAGCATTTTAGTGAAATCCCTAAAGGGCAGGTATGGACTGGTGCATCCTCATAATTCCACAGTCACTTTCAAGGTAAGTTGGCTTTAGAGGTTTTTTTAACTAAGCAGGAGAAAAGGTCAAACTCTCCCTCTCAATTTTCCTGTTGAGTTTAATACCATCACAGTGCATTGCTTCTCTCTGCTCTTAAAAAAACATGATGCCAGTTTCAGCTACATTCTGCTCTGACCCTTTATCAAATCCACGTGTGCCAGCCTCTATCCTTTCAGTGTCGTTGCTGGAGTGCCCCCCTCCATCTGAGAACTCATTTACTCAAGGATTAAATTCATGTATTTGCAAACAAGAAGACAGCCCATAAAATGATATTGTTCTGCCTTTGCAAGAGCAGTGAGGAGGTGAGTCTTTTCAACAGGCCATAAATCTACTTCTTGAAAAAACATTATTTTTTCCTATTCCAGCAAGGTCACTTAGTATCTCATAGCTTGAAGATCTTATTACACAGGAATTAACTATTCCTACAGGACAGATACTTAATAGGCAATCATCATATAAAGTTTTACTGCTACACCAAAAGGCAAACCTTTTTAGAGTGATTAAGTATTGTTAAGTGCCTGAAGACTGTTCTTCCGTAAGTTTCCTTTTGAATTAAATACGTTTTAACAGGAAAAGAACATAAAGATCCTAAAGCCATCAAGTTAATGGAATGTGTAAATTCTCTGCATTTTTCTTATCATCCCCTACTTTTATTCTCTATGTTGCCATTACTACCTTTCTTTTTAATACAACATCTACAGTTGTCGGAATGTACAATTGAAGAGTGAGATTTTAATGCTTCTTAACCAGTCAATGATCTACTGCAACTTCACATGAAATCCAGATACTATTCAAATGTGCTCATCATGGGTGGTAATTAATTAGCACCGATGGGGAACTTGGAATAAAATATGAATATGGTCACATTTCATTAGAAGCATAATGTATCGTCTTCACCCTTATTTAGTTAAATACATTTTCCCCACAGCTAGTGGAAAAATACATATCTCACAGCTACACTGACATCTGGTTCATTGAAACAAGA